AGTGAGCTGATTTGTGGAGCGAGAGCAAGAGCCAATCAGACGGATCTCTCACTCACTGAGTGGCGGACACGCGTTGGTGGACAGGATTCGAAGCGAAGAATCAACGAGAGCGCTAAAAACCATTGAAGTGCAAAATGCATCAACATGCAACACACCATTATTATAATGCAAAAAACATCGGAGAAAACAACAAACACAATGAGAGCAAGCAAGAACGTCCACGGGAAACGAGGCGTTCCCGCCTCCGCGAAGTGAGGTTTGCATCCTCGATTGGTGGAGATCCTGCGAGGGCGCGGGGAGACCGGCTGGGCTGTTCGGAGGGAAGGAGCCAACCACTGTTTAGGGGGAAAAGGGCCATCGACCGTGAAACGTGCATGAAATGATGAGGAGCAACACCTCCATGTTTGAGAAGCCATCCATTCGCCATCATCTTCCCATGCCAGGAAACCATTCCACTAGCGTACGACCATCTCAAGTACTAAGTACAGATCTCTGGAAACAAGTGCCTTTGGGTGAACCCACTCCTGAGTAGGTGGGGTTTCACTTGCAGATGAAGCAGTTGGCTGGTCGTGGCCACATCAAGAACCCCTACGTAGGCTTGCTGGCCCACCATGGACTTAGTCTGCTTTACCGAGCCACCATCGTTTTACTCAGGATTTTGCACTACAAAGCCATCTCAACCGTCTCTTAACGGTCGAACGGAAGCCTAGGGGAATGCTTGGACCCAGCGCCACCTTCCGGTCGATTCCGGCCGCCTCGTGCCCTCCGCGTTCGGCGGATGGACTGTGGGGCGCGGTGCGCGGTGCGCTTCAGGCGCCTGCAAGTGTCGCGGATCGTGTACATCAGTGGCGGCCTTGAGGGGGCTGACAAGGTGAAGCAGAACCGGAGGTTTCCCCCGTGCCATTTGTATCCATTTGTTTCTGGTTGGGACTGGGTTTCCGAGCTGGGTGGATCTGCCTAGGCAACACAGGAGCAAGCACGAAGAGGGGTTTCAGCGACATGAGGATCGACCAAGATTTTGAGGTTTTTAGACTTGTGGTCATTGTGGTGACGTGTTGTTTTAAGAATAAATTAATTTATGACTATCTTCAGTCTGGGACCTAGCTGTCCAAGCCGCGCGGGATTGATCTTTGCGAGGTTGCAATGCCGACAGCATGGCCGAGGAGCATTTGATATGGGTGTGTCCTAGAATAGGGAGTTTCACTGACCACAACCCCATATGTCTCGGGGGGTTCCCCTGTTAAAATGCGGACCCATATGACCCATATGTCTCTCAGGATGCACGAAGACCAGTTTTAAGGCGTTCCGTTTGGCGCTTGAGGCTCCGAAGCAGCCCAACAGATCATGTCTCGTTCGCCTAGACAAGACCCTTCAAAGAGTTTCGGTGGACCAGGTTTTGTAGTGTCAAACCCCCTTTTGGACAACCAACTGCAACAAGGGTTGTTCGGAGTTGTTCGGTAAAGCACAATGAAATCCATGGTGGGCCAAGAAGCCATAAGAAGCCATGGGGATTTGCACAACCACAGCCCCACGGTGCCGAATAAGCAGCTGTTTTCCAAAGGATTTCCTGACATGCACCGAAGTCTGTTTTCATGGTCCAACGGAGTCCAACGGTTTCGGCACACGGGAAAACCTTCTTAAGCGCTGGGTTTTTAAGGGCCTGCTCCAAGGCATTCCTTTTTGAGGCTCATTTCTATGCTTCATTCTGCCATTTCTATGGTTCGATGCTTCCCTAGTCTTCCTGACCCACCATTGATTCCATCGTCTTGACCAAACAAGCATTCTTTGACTGTCGACATGCGATTCTTACACTACCCAACCAGGTCAACCGGAGGGGGCTTGGCACTTGGAACCCCGGACCACACGGTCCGCACCCGGCCGGCACCGGACAGGACATTGCGAAGCTGGGATCCTCCACGGAGGACGTGGGACGCGGAACGGGAGTGGTTGCGGAACGTGTCTTTGAACACCTAGCCGCTAGCCCTAAGAAGCCCAGTTGGACTATTTTTGGACCGGCTGGAGTAAAGGAAGTTCCCAGACTCAGTTCCCCTAGTCAGACCATTCTTTTATAGACTTTGACTCCCAGGGCTAGGACAGTGCAAACCGGACATGAACAAGTTTGATTCCATGTCTGGGTTCAGGAGCTCGATGGCATGTTCGCAACGAAGTGACCCATGTTCGGTGGTTCACACCAGACAGACATTTTTTTTGGGCGCCATCGACTTGAAACCCTAAGGTGCATGGTCATGGGAGTGCCCTCTGACTCCCTGGGCCCCTGAGGGCCCCCTGAGTTAACTCCCGGGCCCTCTTCTTTTTTGGGTCGTTTTCTAGGTTTTCCACATGAGGGCGAAGCATACCAGGGCCCGCCTGTTCGGGGTGGTGAATGGATACCTCGAATCACCTCTAAGATCTAAAGGGCTATAATTCGACACCCCCAGAAACCCGGGCCCCTGGTAGATGTTGAAAGCTCAGCTCCCAAGGGAGTTCCAAGCCCCAGGAGGTTTGTTCTCGCCCCATTTCTCCCAAAGACCAGGGGCCAACGAATCGGAACACACCGCGCTGTCCCGTTACCTCCTCGCGCTGTCCCGCCAGGAGGAGGCCGACGATTTCATCCCCACCCGCGCGGTGGCCGTGGATTCCTTCCCACAAACCGTGCACGTGGAGGCGAAGCCCAGACGACGTGGGGCGAGAAGCCGACGCGGTGTGAAGGAAGTAGACGGAGCACACACACTTGGAAAGAGTCCATCCACCCTGGGAGTCCAGGCTAGACTCTAGACCATGTTTCAAGCGGTCTGACGAACGGCGATAGGAACTTCCTGAAGACTTGGGTGGTGCCGAAAATCGTCGAACTGGACTTCTAGGGTTCAGGGGCTTCAAGAAGACAAATGGGGCTACCGGGTTCGGGAAGGGCTTGCTCATGCTTGCTCTCCGTCGCTTCGACCACTTATCACAGTGGACTTCCGCGTTTGTTTTTGAGACTCAACTAGGTACGCGCCCTCCTCGCGTCGGTATGGGCCAACCTGAGTCGGCCCCAAACCGAGACACAGGCGACTCACATGCCGTCTTTGAACACCTGCACCACGTACGTACGACACGATCGACCTGCTGCCTCTGACCACGGGCCCTAGAGGTCTCACCTAAACGCTCCGACCGGCAGCCCCATGACACGACACCGCTTGGAGAGCGACCCGCTCTCCGGTCGAGCGCAGGTGATTGCCTTGGTCGAGCGTGCCTCTCGCGTGCCTGAGAGGCGGGAAGACAGACCCGTTTCGAGGCTCAGCGATCGGACGTGGACCAGACTGGATCTATGATGATCTAATTTCTGCTGGGTGATCTGAAAAGTACTTTGCCTTTGTTACCTATTATTTTATCTATTATGATCTATTTACTTCCGTATACCTTTGTTTTTTTCCTCCTCTCTCTCTCTCTCCTCACTTCAGTGGAACAGATCTAATATCACTGGACTCCGAGGGTCCAGAGATATTTTTCCCGAGGGAAGTAAAAGAGTACAGAGGTTGAAGGACCCTATAGACTATCCCATAGGTACTCCAGGTGACGGGTCCTATTTACGGTCACTTAACCTCTCTTGGTTCCTCTTGGGAAGGACCCAAAGATCTCCAAAGATCTATTCCAGCACCCTCCAACAGGTCTCCGAAATGGTGGCTTTGGAGACTGAAAAACGTCGCAGGTAGTGACCTGTGCAGTGCTGGTAGGGACGCCTTCAGACGCCACTCAAGACGCCTTAAGAGGGGCCGAAGAGGCGAAGAGCTCAACGGCTGGAGGCCGGTGCCGAGCCGGACCTGCAAGACCCACCGTGCCCGGTGCGCAACAGCCGGAGGGGTGCGACGCGTTTCGGGGCGTTCATGTAGGGCCTAGGGGCTGCCCAAGCCTATTCAAGATCAGTTGGCAGAAAAGGGGTTGACCCTGATTTGGCAGTGTCACTTCAATGGTTGTTCGGTAAAGCCGCCCCCTTAGAGCAAGGGTGGTTGGAAGGCTAGGGGATCTAGGCCGAGCCTCATCTAACACCAGTCCAAAACCCCACCGCTGGGGATTTGAGCGCTGTGTCCCCGGCAGGATCTCTAAACGACCGGAAACTGAGCCGGAGCTTGAAGCAAGTTAGGCTCGCGTGTGACAGAGAGGTCAGCCTGGTAGCTGCAAGGAGGTTGAGCGCAGACTCTTGATGAGCATTTCTAGAAGCCAGCCACTAGTGAGGCAGACCATTTGGCAGACAGGTCAGATCCAGGCAACTCAGCTTCTCCCCTTAAGATGGACTCCACTTCTTGGCCTCAGCGCTGCTGTTGCGGCCCTGGGCCGGCCGACGCGAAGAAGACACGCGAAAAGAAAACGCATGCACGGCGGCCCGGAGCGGCAGCGGGGAACAGCGACAATCCACGGCGTGGGCTGGTTCAAGAGGGTTGTGAAACAGCGTACCCTCCGACTCACTAACATCTAGCATCATTTAACATGGAAGTGGAAAACCACCATCTGTTTGTAAAGGAAAATGGTCTTTCAAGAGCCCAGCCATCTTTCCACTTCCATGCGACGTGTTCGTCGGAGTTTAGAACTGTTTCACTCCAGGTGCTTTGGGGCTTTTAGCAGGTTTTCCTTTTTTTTTCCCTCCGAGAGGTGTTAGCATAGAGACAGGCCGACAACCAGTCTTCATGGAGGATGTGGCGAGGGCATCAAACAAGAGTGAACGCACGTGAAAGTGAACGTCAACAAAATGAAGTCATCACTTCCGCACACAAAAATATACGGCTCCGCATACGCAAAAAGAGGCAAGTACGCTGTGTCTTTGGGCCTCTTCTTTTACGGTTTGCAGTGCAGGTTCTAGATCTTAGTTGATGTTCTCATGCTAGAACTTCGGAGCTCTTTGTTTGTTTGTGTGTCTTTTTGTGCCAAGCCCCTCTGGCCGGCCCTCCCAAAAAGGCTCGAACACTCGCGTCCCTTCTGCGGCGCGCGCCGCGCGGCGCGCGTGAAGCGTGCGACGCTGAGCAAAGATGGCGACTCCCAACCCGCCACTTGGCTGCAAAGACGTCAATCGCGAAGGAGGAGCCCAGGTTTCTTCCGTATGGTCTCAAGCTAATTCTTGGGAAAGCAGAGAACATGACAGATCGTGAACACAAAACAAAGCAACAGCTAAAAGAATACACACGATTTACGCCTCAGACCAGGACCCCCGTGCTGTTTGTAAAGCCAAGCAACATACAAGTCAAAAGAACTCGACTTTATGACTGTCCTGCCTGAGACTACCAACAGACAGAGGTTGAATGACCCTATATCCCATAGGTACCCCAATAAGGGTCCTATTTACGGTCACTACTTAACCTCTCTTGGTAGGGCACTCCCCCTTTGCCCCCGGTTTTTCCGTCCAGACCCGTCTGCCCTGGTCCCTGCCCCAAGACGTCGACGCTCCATGAGGCGGGCCCTGCGAGAGCAGCGGCAGAGGATCCTGGATGCCTTCCGCGCCGCGCTGCCCGAGTCCAACGACCTCAGCGAGGGCCAGGCGGCGGGTCTTGGTGTTGGTCTGCTCTGGTTGTGTGTGATGTGGGTGTGTGGGGCGGGTGCGAACGTGATCTTCCTGGAATTTGGATGTTTTCAGTTCCGGAGGTCTCCCGAACCAATCGTTCTTTGTGCTAGCAGTCACAAGACGGGGTGCGATCCATGGAGGTTAGGGGTGCCCATTGTCCACTCACTTAGGGACTAAACACAACCGCTTTGTGCCTGCTGGTGTGCATATTTTTCTTGTTTTTGGGTTGTGATGGCACGTGGTGCTTTTGGCTTTGGGCGTGAGCATTTGTCAGCAACCATGGTCGGTGTGTTTTTCCACTCGGGATTTCAACTCGTTCAACTCATCCCGGTGGTGTTTTCCCGTGAAAATCCTGCAGGTGAAAATCTTGCTGAAGGCACTGGGAGTGGAACTCAGTGATGAGCCAGAGGCCCCAGAAAGCTGCGAGCTGTGCCAGACGAAGACCGAACGGCTCCCCTGCGGGGCCCTCTTTGCTCGGATCTGAAGACCTGACAACGAGAGGATCGCTTTGGGGTGCCACGGGGGTTCCGGTGGTTTTTTCTCCCCTTTGGGGACGAACAAAGAGCACTTTGGGGTTCCAGTAGCCATTTTGTGAGTGGATTCTTCACCCAGCAACCATTGTTTCACGGAGGGTTTTACACTGCAAAAGACACGGCAACCATTCTGTTGCTGGTTTTTGAAGACTAGGCAAAGGGCTTCACGCATGGTTCCACAGCCGCAACGTGGGGAGGGTGCATCAAACCACCCCTTTGGCTCAAAATTCGATCACAGACAGATACACAGAACCACGAATTTCCAATAGAGGTTGAACAGCCTGAGAAGCCCATCCCATATGTACCACAGACCAGTGTCCGAACGTTCAGGTCTTTCAACCTCTGGTTTTCTATGGCCAAGAACCAGCTCGCTTCTGCCCATCCGCAGGCGCTTGAAAGGGATGGTGGCAGCGGCGTCCAATGGCAGCGGCAAGGCTCGAAGGGTGGCCGCTGGTCAGACTGGTCGTGTGGTCCAAAACTCTATCAATCAGGTCCTTGTTTCGGGTGATAAAGCCATTGAGATATTCATGGACCAATGACCATATATATATATATAACACAACAAGACACGCAGAACCAACAAGGTCAACTTCTGCATGTCTTCAGTAAGTCCATGGTCAGGCCCAAGAAGACATGCAGAACCAGTAAACTTCAAGAGTCGGTTTCTTTCCTTGGAGGGTCTACCTGCTTCCATTGGCAGCTTTGTGGTCCTGGGTCCTTCGCTTCGTCCTTTACTGTATTACGTGGGCGGGCCATGGGACGCTTGCCGCCTAGGCACGAAGGACGACGGTAGGCTGCCCCGTCCTGCCAGTTGCCTGTACTCATCGGTTCTGCATCCGTACCCAGCAGAGGTGGGTCAGAACCCTAGTTCGACTATCCCAGTTGGGTACTCCTGGTGACGGGTCCCAGGTCACTTAACCTCTGTAGGACTCTTCATGCCAAAACCGACCGAGCGCGATCGGGCCGTACTTCACGGCTTGATAGCGCCGCGCGGTTCGGTAGGGTGCAAGTAGGGTGGTCATAGCTCCAAGCTGCTGGAGCGTGGGAGCAAGTTTGTGCAAGTGAATCGATTCAGCAGCCCTAGCCTATCCCATATGTACCCCTCCTGGTTCTCCTCCTGGTTTGCTAAAAACTACATGTTATTGCACCCTATTTAAAATCCCGTTCCGGTGAATGTTCTACATCTTTCTCTCCAGAACTTGGATGGCAAATCTCCGAAAGTCACGTTCCGTCCGCACAGGTCACCTATGAGCAGTTCATCAGCTGGATGTTCGGCTGCGAAGACGCGCCGCCCGCGCCGCCGGGACTGCCGCCCGGACTGCCGCCCGGCGCCCCGCGTCCGGGCGCGGCCGGGGCCGCGCCGGCGGCGGATGACAGGGGGCCATCGAAGGTGCTGGAGACAAAGAGGAGCCGACCCGCGGATGGGTTGGGGTGTGGAAGAAAGGTTGGGAGGTGTCAGGGAGTTGCACTCCAAACCGGTGGCAGGTCTACGAGGGGGAGGGAGGGTAGAGTCCGGGTAGAGAAAGATGATGACAATGACGAAATTGAACGTGTTCCATGTTGCTGGAGGGTGGTGAGACATATGAGCGTCGTCCGTTATTGCCAGTAGAGGAATTTAGATAACATGTTGAAACAAACATTCCGCGAAAGGGAAACTGCAGTCCGCGAAAGGCCGGCGATAGGACGGCGAAAGACATGCGCAATCCTAGACTTACATGTACATTACTTTACATATCATATAATAGGCGCATAAACAGACTCAGAAATCCATTTCCAGAGTTTCCTGGAAGAAGAGTTATATGCAAGTTTGGCCACATGAACAGTTGTTGCAGCCACTTTGCTGTAAGAGAAAGAGCTAGCACACTGTACAGCATTCAGCATTCATCATGGCACCTGATCCACCAACACTGTGTGGAATCAAACCTGTGGTTTTTTGCAAACGCGAAAGGGCCGCGAAAGGCCGGCGATACGACCCTGGAAAGAAGAGCTTTGTTGGACAACCCCCATATGAAATGATCTCAAAGCCGTGAGGGTGGTGTTGTTGCTTGGGGGTGTTGTGGAGGGGGCCAACATCCCCAGCAGCCTTTTTTCTTTGTGTCTGGCGCTTTTATGTACGAGGAAGTGCGAAAAAGATGGGGAACATCATGGAACATCCGACAATTCCGATCAATTCTGGTGGGGATACATTCTGATACCAGCACCCTCACTGCCAGGTCGTCAGTTGAGGGTTGGGAAGGGCCCTAACAGGTCAATTGGTGACCTGTAGAGTTGGATCCTGATACCTGGAAACAACGCGCGCGCGTGTCATCTTTGACCTTCGAAGCCTCAGGAGCTTGCAGATCATCGAGGCCTCGGTCCGTGCGCAGCTCCAGTGTCCTGGTCGCATGCGCAGCGCGACTTCGGGACGCAAGCGACCAGTTCTTCGAATCACTTGTGATGTCACAGGCTTTCAGCCCGCCCTAGAGAGGCCGAGCAGCTCTAGGTGTCGCCCATCCCATATGTACTACTGCAGGGTCCTAGTTCAGGTCTCTCAACCTCTGGAGGACGTGCACAACTTGTAAAGCTATATTTATACAGCTGTATATGCCACATTCATGAAATTTCTGCCTCACTGGGCCCCGGGCAATTTTGTTGACGAAAAGAACGGCATAAACTGTATCACAGCTGGAATGTCCAGGTGTTTATTTGTCGAGTTTTTTGGCGGGCCTGAGACCCTGGGAAAGCAAGACCAACACATAGCGCGCTATGCTTTGTTCCTCCCCCTTCTCTGAAGGAGTTGAGGAATCACTCTATCACAGAGGGGTCATCCCAAAACCATCCAAAACCGATGAACTTTGAGTTTTTCAGCCAGCTGGGTGTTCATTCCTTGAAGGCTTGTTTCTTCAGAGAAGAGACTCAGGAACTTTCCTCCCAGTCCTGACGTGTGAATTCTCCATTCTCAAGTCTGGGGCCTTCCACCACCGCTCCCCGCCATCCCCGTGGCTCCGGGGCAGTGCCATCCGGACGGGAAGAACAGACATGATGCGTTTCGACTCGCTACGACTCGCTCGCGCCGAAGCATGCGCGAGGCAGATTCTGGAACAGCACCCCTACGCTGCTTGGTGAAAGATTCAGAAAACCAACAGAGGTTGAAGGACCCGAACTAGCCTATCCCACAGTTACCCCAGTAAGGTCCTAGTTCAGGTCACTTAACCTCTCTGGGTAGGTTTAAAGTTTCGGGGTCGGCATCAGCCTCAGATTTCCACTTCAAAAAGACCGTGTGCTTGCAAAGGCAAGAGGCCAGGTGAAGGGACAAGAAAAACCTGTTTTGAGCAAGAGGATTGCCACCAGAGTTTCTTGCTCATTGGAGTTATTCACGCATTTGAGTTGCCAGCATTTTTGAGAGACTCATCCACTCCCCTTGTCATAGCACCAGGATCATCCAAGGGGATCGTCACTGAAAATACCCGGACTTAGAAGCTTGTCAAGCTCTTCCTTGAAGGCACCCCTTGAAGGGTTCTCCACTCAACTTTTGCATGAAGGGTAGGGCTTAGGGGTAGTCTGTTGGTGATGCGGGTGGTCCAGGTCGGTAGGTTCTAGACTAGAAACATTTTCGGAACACTTGACGGTCCGAAGGAAACGGCGCATGAAAGGCACGACCCTGACAGCCATGGCAAACAGCCCGCACTTGGTTTAGAAGGGATTTCTTACCAAAACCACCACCAGAGGTTTGAAGAACCCTATAGACCATCCTTTAGGTACCCCAGTAGGGTCCTATAAGGTCTCTTAACCTCTCTTGGCACTAGTTCGGTCAAACCCGGAAAGCCGAGGACCAGGCGGGAGACAGCCAAGACCAGTGCGTAGTGCGTGTGTGTGAGCCAAAGCCGACGGTCGACGGCGTCGGCCTTTGGTCAGGTGGAGAGTGGTGGTGCTGCCTCGCGGCACCCTGCCCAACCCTTCGTGACCTGGCGGTCCGGGGTGGAGACGTTCCGGGAACTCCCAGAAAAGCTGTGTCAAAGCATTCTTGGTTTGATGAGTAGTGTGATGAATATCAACTAGGACAGGGGTGGATTTAGATACATTTCATGATCGAACATATATCATCCAGGACCCTCCAAGAGGTGTCTATAATATAGATTTCCTCTTAGAGGTTCAGAGGTGTCCAAAAACCACCTGTTGGAGGGCTTGGATATTGATTCATGTTGAATATGGCGTGGTGGTGAGCTGCCCGAGGTCGAGAACTGCCGGAAGTGCTTGGAACTGGGGAAGTACGAGCAAGCCCAGGAGGCGCGCCGCACCGCACACAGGCGGCGCACATAAGAGGCGCCTCAGAAGATGCGCCCGCCTCATCAAGCGAACTCATGCACCCTAAGGATTCCTGGCCCACCATGGATTCAATAGGCGGAATCCCGAAGAACCATCGTTGAAGGATTTAACACTGTACTACAAAACAGGGTCAACCATTGTTTAAATAGTCCTCGAAGGCTATGGCCATAAGTAGAGGATATTGTTGGGATAGACTGTCGAAGAGGCAGATGAGCAGCAGGGGGGAGAAGACTTTTCACACGATGAAGGGGTTATATTGTGGAGAAGCCACGCTCTACGTACAGAATCACGATGCATGTATGCACTTGGAAACAGAGGCTGGGGTATGTTGGGGTGCCTTTTGGAATGCTTCGCCTTGGCGTAGTCCGAGGAAGTTTCTGGAAGCCACACCTCAGGCGTCGTCCGAGGCCAGAGGATCTTCCCTCAACAACGCCGATCTACAGCATCGATGCCCCAGGCTTCACCCGAACACTATCAACAGCACTGAACACAGACCTGTCGCGGCTTCCTGTCTGGGTGTCCTGTCTGGTGACCAATAGACAGTGTATGGGTTGTCCAGCCAGGCCACCCCGAACGGAAGCAGCTGGGACGTTCCAGGTTCATTTCACACCCAACGATTCGGTGCGAGGACCTTGTATCTGCACGTTGAACCAAAAGCCTCCGGGATTGGGCCCGGCCTAAGGGGCTATGGGTGGCGATCCTCTTGTGCACCGAAAGAGAAGAAGTTCTCACTCCCTTCCTGGCCCAGAGTTGATGTCATATTATATTGGACGTTCGGCGCACCGGGGCCCGGTCCCCGCCGTGCACCGCCGCGCGAAACCGTGCACCGGAACCGCGGAACCGCGGTTTCCCCGCTCCACTCACCGCGAACTAGGACCCCACTGGGGTACCCATGGGATAGTCTACCAGGACCTTCCAAGAGGTGTCTATAAATAGCCTCTGAAGAGGTTAAGGGGGTGTCCCAAAACCACCGGATTTGGAAGGTCCTGGTATAGGGTTCTTCAACCTCTGGAACTGCATGGAGAGGAACTGCGGCGCACGCGGAGCGTGATCGAGACCGTCCGGGCCACCCGGGGGGGGGCCAGGCGGCGGGACGGCGCGGGCGCGAAGAGTTTGGGGGCGAAGGGTGGACACCTTTTGGCCGAAGGGAAGGAAGAGTTTAATCTCTTTTGGGGCGGAATGGGCGGGGGATTTCGAAAAAGCCACGGAGGATTTGTGCGTGGTGAACAGCCTGGGAGTCCATGTCAGACCATCGTTAAAGGAACATGGTCTGACTATAGGTCTCGAAACTCGGTGGATGCAGCGTGAAGTTCCGAATTGTCCTCCACTTCGGGTGGGGGGGGCCAAAGATGGTCGAACTGGACTTCTAGCAAATCTGAGGTTGGGGGAGGTTGGGGGAATGATTTGGGTGGTGATGTTTTGTCCCTCGGAGTTTCCGTCATGTGCCACCTGCTGGGAAGCCAAAGTTTTCATCTTCGTAGAGGGATGGTTAGGTGGAGGGGGCAGCAGGAGTAGCCAGCACAAGCAGTGCAGGCAATGAAGGCTTTCGCCATGCAATCGTTCCAACCAATGAACATTTATGACTTCAGCGAGGTTGATATGGGAAAGGCATAGCAGGACGCCTTGTGTGTATCACCTGGCGCTTTTTGACCGCGTGGTGACCGCGTGAGAGGTCAGGACATGACCACCGTGTTTTCCACCTGGCAGGTGGCTCCATGTAGGTGGCGGTGCCTCGCAGCTTTCGGGCTCAAAGATCCGCTTTCGGAAAAAGAACGGTAGGGTGTTAGGCTGTATCGGAAGGTGTGACACTGTCCTGTTTCCGCTGGATGCTGTAGGTGTGAAGATGTATGAAGGGCAGGGCAGGAGGGTGGTGTGACCTGGTGGGACCTTGAGAAGGCAGATGGGCATTGCGGCACATGGGTGGCCGAGCGTTTCAGAGTGAATGTATGTAACCCAGTGCAACACTGGCTCTTTGATGCAGTCATCGCGCACGTCATCGAGTAACTCGCCGTGGACGCAAACCATTGGTGTGATCCAAAGGGTGCACGAACATCCGGAATCCAGTGAATCCAGAAAGCTGGGGGAATGGTTATGCTTCGTTTGTGCCAGGGTGCCCACCGATTCCTTGAAGTGACCAAGCAGGCAGCTTTTGGGGTGGTCATGTAGCCGATGTAGCCACTGGCCGCCATGTGGGAAGAGCCTGCCTGGCGACCTTTGTGGAGGACCGGATGGACGATGGGTGGCCGTTTGTGTCTTGGGCTAATGACTCTGCCAAAAATTTGCGCAAAGCAGCGCAAGAAGAGAATTCTGTGGGAGTTCTGGGGTTGCTCATCACCCGGCACATTCCGCCTTCGGCTCGTTTCCGCGCGGCAGGTGGCGCCGTGTGTCATGGCCCTGCCGCGCTGGGTGTTGCTGACCGAGGCCACTGGCTGGGATGCTGAACGCCAGGCGCTGGGGCTTGGGGGAGGGGTTCGGACGGATCGGGAGGATGATGGATGATGTGAGGTTGCCAGGTCCGGCTGCGTTTTGACTGTTCTGGGAAAAGTGGATGGCCTATGATGGCCTTCATGTTTTTGGAGGGTTTGGCGGTCCCCACTAGGCATAAGCGGGTGAAAAAGGTTAGACTGTTACATAGTTATTTGCGATACATATATATATATATATATATGCTTACTGTAGTATATCAGACTTCATTGTACTGGGACACTGAGGGTTTCATGCATGTTCATAAGAGCTCAGAAACTTGTGGGCAGCCCTCCGCTGATCGCCATCCTTGGCGATTTGGGCACGTTTCCCCGATGCGGCCAGGACTACCGGTTCTCTCAGCAGCCTCTGCAGATGCCTGGGCGTGTGACGCTGAACTTCCATGTAGGTGGCAGTGGCGCATCTGCCCAAGATGGGCAGAGGAGGAAAGCTTCGAAGTCCAGGAGACGGAAATCCAAACTGACTGCACAAACTCCCCACGACAGAGTTTCAACAGGTTGCAGATTTGGGTCCCTCAAGATTTTGTTGGGCGGGTTTCGTGGCACTTTCCTTCAGACACCTTTGGCTCGACGGTGGGAAGTGCATGGTTGTATAGGACATCACAGAATACGACCCTACTCTCCGAGGCTGTTCCCCTACAACATGCTCAGCAAATCCTGGGTGACTCAACCACTAGCCCAGCTCCAAGCCAGTTGAGTCAGCAATTCTGTAGACTATACAATTATATCTTTCGAATGACCTGCGCGATCTTCTTTAGAAGGCTCCGTCTACACACCCCAGAACCAGCGCAGTGACACAGCTCCCACGTTGCGGCAGGAGCTTCTTTCACATTGCCCAGGTGGACGATCCGAGCTTCTGCTTGCTCCCCGATGCCAGTGGTGCAGCGACGCAGCTTGGGCTCCGGGAAGGGGAGCTTGTGCGCGTGAGGGTGCACCGTGGAGGCGAGGGGGTGGGTGGAACGGGGGGGGGGGGGAGAAGAGCCGTTTATATAAGGCATTTCAACATGTGGAGAGCAGAGTGGTCATAGTTCGTTAAATTTATGCTTTTGAGTCAAGGCCAGGTACTTCACAAGATGGTTCTCCAAAGCTGGCAGGCAAGAATGTGAGGAGAATCTGGTGCAGCCGGCCACTCCTCACTTTTCACATGATACACCCTTTATTAAGGTAGAATCTTGATTCATAACCTGCCGGCAGGCATGGATTGTAAAAGCTCTTGAGTCTTGGGGCGTTTGACATATCACCAAGATCTTCTGCACACCAAAAGAGGTTAAGTGACCTGAACTAGGACCTTACTGGGGTACCCAACTGGGATAGGCGAACTAGGGCCTTCTACAAATAGGACTTCCTGGCATTTCTCGCCATCCGCTCGATCCGGCCGGTGGACACCCGGTGTCCAGCTCGGGTTCGAACAGGTGCGAGCCGGCCCTTCTTTTGGATCAAGGAGCCTGTGGGGACCTCTGTGACGCTCCAGTTGGAGCCTTGAGCTTTGGAGAGTCTGGAGGTCGGTGAGGTTGGTTGGGCCAGGCCTGGTGAGAAGCCACCACTCCGCACCTTAGAGGTGGCTTCTTCAGTTCGTGACCGAACTTGATCCATTAAGAGGTCACTTAGTTAGGCCATGTAAAAAGGGTATGTGGATGGGACTCCAAAAAGGTCACGAACTGAAGAAGGTGGGAGAAGATTGTAAGTGAGGAAAGGACCACGCAACATACCAATAGATTCCTGACCATTATTAAATTTTGCGCGCGGGCTGGAATCATAAATTTCGACCCGTGGGCCCTAAATATGTGTTTTCAGGCTATGGTGGAAATTTCCGATGCGTTTGTAGGCTTGTTTTGGCCAAGCAAGACTTTTTAACACTTATTGGCCAAAGGATTTCTCCGAGGATTGGTTCGGCCAGCCGGGTATGGGTCTTAGGGTGCTGCATATGTGATCAAACCTCACTTTAGGTGCGTGGCCACTTCAGAAGTGTTCAACTGTATGGCTTCAAAACAAAAGTGACTTTAAAACTTAAAACACGTATTGGGTTCCCACGTGGGATGCCTGAGAAATGTCCAAAATATGTGACCCCATCCAGTGGATCCAGTGTGTTTGCATGAATCCTCCATCGACATGCGCAACGGATGACTGCTGCATCTTTTCAAGAAAATGAGAACGTCTTGTCTTTTAGTCCAAACCTACAACTACATCTGTGACTCTGCCAGTTGCATAGAATCCCCTTTGCGCGGCAGACAAGTGCAAGAATTTTGCAAAATACATCTTGCAAACAACCGACAACTGGACAACTGTTCTTTTTATTTTTTCGATTGTTGTTGCACGGATGACTGGTGATGATGATAGGGTAAGATTCATATTAGCTAAAGGTGACAACTGTGAACTCAAATTGCACATTATCATCATTATCGCCCAAGAGAACTATTCCAGTGTGCTGTGCTGTGTACTTGTACTTGTTACATAGAATATATATGTGTTATTGTTGTTGGATCCTACGACTTCCCACGAACGACTCACAGCTCATGACTAAGACATACTTAGACTAAGATAAACCAATAGAACAAGCTTGTAGTTTTCAGAAAGGGGTTACAAGCCAGCTCCTCGCACAGTAGGGGTCCTTTCTTTGCGCCGAGGGCGCAAAGAAAAAGTTGCAAATAGTATAATCAATCGTTTTCAACATTGGATATCTTGAATGTCTCTGTATGGTTTTAAATTTCAAGCATAAAAAGAATCCGGACCCCTTATCAGATCTGAGAAAATATATTCCAACTCTCTGTCTCTCACCTCAATTTCCAAGCTATGTACAATCCAAATCCAAAACCATGACAAATATATTGAATGATGCTTACAAAGATCTCTATCGCCATCAACTCAACTCTCCATCAACTCAGTTCAATGTTTAACTTCACATCTGAAATTCTGTTCTGAAATCGAATTCAAAGCGAAATCAGAACTTCTCGGAAAAACTCAGAAAAGTCTGATTCCAAATCGAAAAAATCAGAAAATTATGATTCCAAATCAGAAAATTCTGCTTCCAAATAAGAAAAATCAGACATTCTGATTCCGAATCAGAAAAATCAGAAAATATCAGAAATTTCTGATTCCAAAGCAGAAAAACCCGTATTAAGTGTTCACAACACTCAAATTTGCAATAAATAATGCAGATTCAAGAGTGTTGAACACATATTTCGGATTTTCTGATTTGGAATCATAAATTTCTGATATTTTCTGATTTTGTACATTTGAAGTCATAATTTTCTGATTTGGAATTAGAATTTTCTGATTTTGGAAATTTGAAATTATATATAATATATATATATGTATGATTTTTCCGATTTGGAATCATAATTTTCGGATTTTTGTTCTTTCCGGTTTGGAATCAGAGTTTTCTGATTTTATCCGATTTGGAATCATAATTTTCTGATTTTTCCGGGTTGGAATCAGAATTTTCTGATTTTTTCGATTTGGAAGCAGATTTTTTTGATTTTTCCGGGTTGGAATCAGAATTTTCTGATTTTTTTCGATTTGGAATCAGAATTGTCTGATCCTTCCTGGTTGGAATCAGAAATCATAATTTTCTGATTTTTTCGACTTGGAATCATAATTTCTTATATTTTTCGAAGTGGAATTTGAATTCTGAGTATTCCTGATTTGCAGCTGATTTGCAATTATATAGATTTGAATATTCTGAACCTAATTTAAATTCTGGATGTTTTGATTTTGGGCTCACCGACCGAATCATAATTTCTGCTACTATACTGTGCTCAATATTTTCTTCGCGCCTTCGGCGCGGAGAAAGATTTGTCGTTGTCAAACGTTATGGGCTCCTTGGGTCCCGGACTACAATATTCGCTGTGTAGAGCGATAGGGAACCCTGAAAAGATTTGAAGAGCGATACCGATACCTGTGCCGATAACGAATTGGACAACGTTAACGATGAAAACAGAGGAATAAGAGCAGTCCAGCCTGCCATGGCAAATTGTTCAACTGACTAATCTTAATCTAATTGACTACGCTCACCCACTACTCCCAACTCCTGCCTTCAATGCCATTCCCAGCTGGCTGTCACATTGTGGTATGATATATCAGTTGGCCCCTTCTTCATAGGATGTTGTGGCGCACCCCTTTGGTGTTTGAAACGGTTCCGCGGGAAAAATGATTGGCCCATAAGTGTTCAAACGCATCGCTTGGCCTAAAAAAGTTTGCAAACACATCGGATTCTTTCAGCCGTAGCCTGAAAACACATATATCAAGGGTCCGCGATCGCAAATTCTGATCACTGAGATGTTTTGAACATCATTTCCCAGGGCATCGAGCCGGGGTACCCGATAAGTGTTTTCATCTCATCGTAAATTTCCAACACTAATGTTGAACACTTCTGGAGTGGCCGCGCATTCAAACTAAGGTTTGAACACATATTGACGCTTAGAACCATGCACGCACGAAATTTAATACTGACCATCCCGGCTTTTGAACATACTCAGCACCTAAAATATATGGTTGATCTGATTTATGCAACACTCGTTTTCCTTTTCGTGTCCTGAGGACCCTGACGGCCACGCTTCCGACGTGCTGATGCTCTCCTACCTGCGAGCGGAGGACCAGGCGGCGCCGGCGGCGCCGGCGCCGGCGGCCGGGCCGCCCATCGATGGGTCAACAGCCGAGAGAGAGTGCATGGAACCATTGGTGTTGGTTTGCGAAGCCAACAACTGGGCAGTGGACCCTCAGAAAGTCCGACATCCAATGGGTGTCCTGGCGTTCGACTACCCCCACCCTACGGTACATAGGTCTCCAGACAGGGCACCCATTGGCTAGGTTTTTGTTCTTTGTTGTGGTTCCCTCATTGAGAACGCTATAAGAGAAAATTTCAGGCATTTTGGTCAAACGTGTAATCGGCCAATTGAGGACGCCCGGTACTACTTCACTGCCTCGGGTGGTATGAACCAAGCTGGTGGTGCTCGCGCGCGTCAGCAGCTGCAATTACATTTGGCGAAGCCCAAGGAAACCGAGAAGGATGGGACACCGTTGCCCATCAGCTGGCAATTCGCTTTCGTTCACCTCACCTTCCAAATCCTCAGCGCTCCTCGTTTCCAGAAATCTTTGCGTGATCCGCGCGAGTTTGCGCAAGCACGCCCCAGCAGGTTTGGCCCTCCAAAATTTACGAAAGGTTGAATAGCTCGTTTTCGTCCGTCCCAGATGTACCAACATAGGATAGCCTGTCCCAGTTGGGTACCCCAGGTGACGGGTGCTAGTTCAGGTCACTTAACCTCTCTTGGTAACCCCTACACGCTCCAACAGTTCAGGTCTCTGAATCACCTCCCTTGGAGAAGGAGGGTCTCCACCCTCCGAAGCCGCCCAGCGCTCCACGCGTCCGAGGCGACCGAGCAAGGCTGGCGCCTGGTTCCGGCCGCGGCGCCTCACGTTTGGAGCTCCGACAGCGTGGTGGCTCCGCGACTTGGGGGCATCCCTTAGAAAGCCTAGGAATCCCCGGCCCCACCATGCATTTCATAGGCTGAATCCCGAACTGCCAAGCTGTTGTACTAAGGATTTTATGATATTTTATGTATTTTACACCTCCAATTGTTAGGTCAACCAGTTGTTCATGGTGTTGGAAGTCTAGGGCTAGGGCAACAAACGCCGCGCCAATCGCCGATCGCCCTAAACAGCCAACAGAGACCATCCCAGAGTTTTTATCCAGAAGTGGGAAAAGGCAGACCCCGCAAATTGATTGCCCCAATTGCTGCAGGACTTTTTCTTATTTCCTCAAAGGATGGTGCCTTTTGGATTCTTCTTGGCCAATGGAGCGAGAAGGTCTACCAATTTTTGGGGGAATATGCGGAGGTCCTTCTTTTAAGACATATTGCGCCTAGCGTCCTTGCTCCTAGCAGTAAGGCCAGGAGCCCCTAGTAGGTCACGTCCGTAGCGATGCCAGGAGCCCCGTCCGTAGCATTCTGCCAAGCAATATGAGACCTCTGTGCTGCGTGAAAACCCCTTCCGTTGCGCCCCGCCGTCTCCTGCATCGCTGCCCCCGAGGTCGTCGTCGTGCCCGCTGGCCTGCAGCCGGGCAGAGGCACACGAGGCCTTTCACGGCCGGGACTTTCATCTGGTGGAGCCGCATGGCACGCTGGTGACGCTCTGGGTGGAGCCCTGGGCCAAAATGGGCGATGTGTTCGGTCGATTTTTTGGGGGTCCTCCTCCGGAACTGCTGTAGGTGCCCTGAAACTGGGAAGATTCAACAGAGGTGGGTCAGAACCCGACTGTTCGACTATCCCAGGTTTTCCGGGTCCTAGTTCAGGTCACTTAGCTACCTCTGTTGGATTTGGTTTTTTGGGGCACAGCTCCTCAATGCCAAGGAGCTCTGGAGACCTGCTGGAGAGAAGGACCGCCTTCAGGCGCTGAAGCTGAAAACCGGACCAGCCTGCCGGACAGGGCCTTTGGACTGACAGAAGGGGCCCTCCATCCCATTCTGCAGGTGCTCTTAGAGGAAGGATTGGATCTGCAAACAGAGACGCACACAGAGGCTTTTCAAAGCTTGTCAGATCTCATTGACCTTCGAAAGCTCGCTCTCTCCCGCGCCAGGCGCAGATTTGGTACGAGCCCCGTGCACCGCCCATCGCGGCGAACGGAGCAGCGCTCCTGGCGGCGCCCATGGCGGCGGATCGACAGCCGGCGAGCGAAGAGCAAGTGCTGACGGCCCTGCAGTGCCAGGGGATGAGCTTTCACGAAGCGCAAGAGACTTGGAGGAAGGCCGGTGCATGAAGAGGTTTTTCACAGCCCTATGCATCGCCCATCCCATATGTATACTACCCAAAAAAGGTCCTAGTTAATTACTAGTTCAGGTCACTCAACCTCTTGCGGTGCATGGAGGGTTTTTTGGGAAATGGTTGGGTGCCTTCTTTTCATGGCCGTGAGTCAACGTTCATGGGGTGTTCTGCCTCCCTTGCGAGAACATGGCAGCCAGGTCCTTTTCACCAGCTCTTTCACCTCAAGCAGACACGTTCTTTTTCAATTTTTTGGCCTGGTTTTGCTCAAGAATAGTATTGGTTTTTATTTCCCCATTCCCCAGGTAAATCATGGTAACTGCCCTAGCCTGGGGAATACGTCTTACTATGTCTTACTCTTTCCAGGCTTCCTGGATGGCAGGCCACCCAGATGGTGTGAAGCCTGTGGGAGGGTTCAGTGCCGCCGGGACCGGGCCGAGAATCGGGCTTTTGGGCGCAGGTGATGAGGTTGCGATGCCCTGAGTGGTGGCAAGAGTGGGCCAGGAGCCGTTGAGCTGTTTGACCGGTTTTCGCTGCAGAAAAGGGGTTGCAGGGGGGACCCACAGGCGCAAGTTTCGCCTGCGGGAAGGGTATGGAGATTAGTGTTATCCAGACCAGGCATTAACAGTCCTTCGGTTCATAGGCCCCAGATACCCCCAGATCCAAGAAGGGGCACAATTCATCCCAGGCGAGCCATTGTGCCCTATTGATTAACCCTTGATTTGTGGTTCGCTAAGGCTGTGTATTGCAGAGATGCTAAGGCTGTGGTTCTCGGGTTGGTCGTGTTGGGAGCTTTCGAGGTGCCATTGCTTGCGGAAAGAGCCTTTGGGAACAGAAGAGCGGACCTCAGATACAGCCCCACACAGAGAACGGGCTGATTCAAGGAAAAGATCCTCTCAGCTCTCCGAGGGGACGACAGCTGCGCAGGAGAGCCAACCATTTCGAGAGGAAGATCTCCAAGCTCTCCCGCCGAAGCGCCGCTTCGCTCGGCGCGGAGGAGAGCGTCCTCTCTCCCTCCGCGCCGAGCGCCGTGGAGGGCGAGGGCGGCACGAAGGTCTCCAAGGAGGTGGCCGTTGAGGTGGTGAACAAGTGACCTGACTTGTAGTATATGGAGCTCCCGATGGCTCCAGGAACTAGTTGTGACGAACAGTATACAATATACACAGCATATGTATGTACAGACTCATTTGCAAATGGTCATTAGCTTGTTTCACACCATTCGTTTGGTCGTATTAAATGGGGTTCTCAAATCCACTCAAATGTAGCATTGGGAATCAATAAGCAATTCTTTCCATTTTTCTAATCATTTATTTGGGGCCTCTATAGTCATACCCATCATACCTCTAGTCCTCATATCAACAATGGTCTTTTCGTTGGGGCCTGCTTAAGCAAGTGGCTTCACGGGTGAAGTCCAAAGGCCGTCCACAGAGATGTTCAACAAGTTTCACAATCCTGGAGTCACATGTCACGGGTGGTGTTTAGTACCCCAGGGTGGATGAAATCGGGGGACCCTGACTTCTCCATAGAGCAGGAGCACCCCTTGGTGACTCCTGGATGTCATGGGTTCCATGTTTTCACCCGCAAAATTCGAAGGCTCAGAGTGACCAAACTCATCTGCGCTACGCCGCAACGCCTCAGAGTAGGCGCATTCTTCTTTGCGTTCTTTCCATGACTCCTTTCTCAGAATCGCTTGAAGGGAAGGAGGGAAGGCAGGAACCTCCTAGTTTTGGGGGCGAACACCGCGGATTTCCTGTAGGTTTCCCTTGAAACAATCCATGACGTCCATGACGTCTGCCCACACCGAGGCTGGCGGAGGCGCTGCGAAGCCACCAGGCCACCCTGAACAGTTGCCTTCGCGAGTCCACGGTGCCGTTGTCACTGGCGGAGCCGTCGCCTGGTGAGACGTGTTGAGTGTATTTCTTTTCCAGCAGCTTCCGTCCGGGGTGACCTGGCTGGACAACCCTACACTGCTTAATGTCGCCAGACAGGACACCCAGACAGGAAGCGCTAGGTTGTTTGTTTCTATTTCTATTTTTTGGGTGATCCTTTACCTGGTCTTGCGGGGCTTAAGATGATTGGTTATTTTCCCTGTGGATTCATCCGCATGAATCCCCTTCCAGGAATGTTATTTTATGAAATAGTATTATGCAAATCCAAGTCCACGTGTATTGCTTGTTCTATCCCAGACTATTGAAGAAACTGGAAGAGTTACTTGCTGGATGGGTCATACATGAGGGTAACCTATTCCAGTCCCATGGATATACTGGTCGTCTGGAAACAAGGTGAATCTTCCTCTATACCAGGATCATCCAATGGGTGTCCACTAGACTACCCTACCCTACTTATAGGCTTCCATTGGACCCACTGGAAGCGCTAGGTAGGTGAAGAGTTCTGGTTTCTTCCATCTTCAGCACCCACCTCCCAAGGTTTCCTTTCATGCCGCCGCGTGCCATCCGGGCGCCTTGGACCCGCATCCGCCGCATCAGCTCGCGGGTTCCGGACCCTGCGCGAGTCAAAGGGGGGAACGGTGAGGTGGTGAGGTGAGGACCAAGCTGGTGGTGCGGGTGGAGGTGGAGGGGCGTTGTTGCGGAAAAACATCCTCCCACCGACGGAGAGCGTTTGCTTGCACATGGATTACCCTTTGGACGGTGGATTGAAACGAATGACCAGTTATAGATCCGTTGGAATGGTCAACCCCTCTTCAGATCATCGGGGGGTTGATCAATCAAGAGTCTAAGATAGTCTAAGGTCTTAGAACATCTTCCAGCAGTCACAAAGGGGTGCTTAATGGAGGTTAGGGGTGCCCATTATCCACTCACTTAGGGACTAAACACCACCCCTTTGTGACTGCTGGTTAGAACATGTTTGGTCTCACCTCTTGCTGGAGCTCTTTCTTAATGGTTCCTGAGGAGGTGTGCCACGAGCTATTGTTCAGATAGTCTTCCTTTCGGGACCATTCTTCCACGTAACCATGATGTGTTCGGAGCGTCATGCAGATCTTTCTCCCGGAAAACCCGTAAGGTTCGGGAAACCGGAAACCGGTGGTCGCTGGCACGGTCGCCGTGCTCAAGGCCCGGGCCGGGCCGATCCTTGCTCCAAGAACTCTGGGAGACCGCATCCTCCTGATTTTGGCCGAACAGGTGCATGTGTGGTGTTCGTGTATTGTCCCCAAACTGGGTGAATCCATGCAAATCCCCCAACCCTTGCGAAGATGAATTAACGATTGTTTTCCTCCCTGGTGTCCGGAAATCCGCCTGAATCCACCTGAATCCGACTAAGTCCGCCTGAGGCCCACCCCTTCCAAGTTTGGGCCCTCATCCTCATCCTCCTCATCCTCTCAGAGCTAAGATTCCGACTCCCAACAGAGGTTGAAGAACCCTATAGGCTATTGGATCCTGCAGGTTTTCCGGGTCCTAGTTCAGGTCCTTCAACCTCTTCCGACTCTGCGCCACCTTGATCGTCGAGGCTGTGAGCCTCAGCGTTGAGAAGGTGCTACCCACCCACGACCTGGGCCTCCACGACCTTTGGGCGGCCTGCGCGCGGGAGTGGCACCATCCGGAGGCGCGGCGACAGTTCGCGAGCCGGTTCGCGGGGTTCGGAGTGTGGGGGGGTCAGCGAGGTCAAGGGCTGCTTGCGGGTGTGGCCCTTTCGGCCGAAAATGGGTGATGCTTTTTATTTTCTTATGAGTGAATCCTGTTCAACCTGGGCCATTATATTAAAAATATATATATATATATTATATATATATTATATGTATATATATATATGTTATATGTATATATGTTTACTCCAGGACTATCTAGTTGGCCCAGATCTGTGGGGTGGCAATCTGCATTCAATCGGCCCAAGACCACTTGGATTCCTGCACTCACACACCAAGCTCCTGGGAAACCCTATGCACCCAGATCTTCGGCTAGCTTCAGAGGTATATGGAAAATCATAGCTTAATCTCAGATGGGTCTTAGGAGAGGTAGCTTACATCTCCTAAACTCCTTAATCTTGGGAAATCCTAGCTTTAGAGGTATATTGACTCCATCATTTTCAAGTCTCAAGAGCCGTCACGCCGTGCCACCTCAAGCGAACAAGCAACTGGCTGGAAGATGAAGACCTGGCTGATGGCTACTTGAAGCACCTGTGAAATTGTGTGAAACCATGGCAGGGTCGCTGCATCCGGGCTCCACAGATCTCACCGGGGTCCGCTGTCGTCGTCGTCCTCCGGTGTCAGCGCGTTTTTAAGAAAACGCTCCGACTCCAGGTGCGTGAAAGCTTGGAAGCCTTGCGCAAGGTCCTTCAGGGCTCCAAGATCTCAGCTTCTTCGGGCGGCAAGCAGTTGGCCATGCGCTCGGGGGGAGGCTTGGCTTGATGAGCGGAGGGAGGTGAGGGAGGTGAGGTCTGAAGGATCCTAATCCCGCGGACGGGTAGGATGTCAGCGGTGGGTAGGAGATCTGGGGATCACAAAATCTCTGTGAAACAGAGAGCCCAAGGAGTTATCCAGGAACTTTCAATTTTTGAAGGGTTCAGCAGGTGCACTCTGCTTGGCTGTTGAAGGACCCGAAGTCCACCAGAGCTTGGAACAGATCCTTACTGCTCAAGCGGATCATAAGAAATCCTAGAACTATCAGAATGGACTTCTGGAAATTCTGAAAGGCAATGTTTCTTTACAAGCTCAGCGGGTTTCCGAATTTGATATGTGTTCTTCCCCCTCGATCGGATGCACGCGTTTTTTGCGATGCCGCGACAGACCGCCTCAAATCCAAGGAGAGCAACTGGCTGCCTGTGGCACACAACTTTTGGTGGGCATGCGTGTGATGCTTCGCTGGCAGCCAGGAAGTGTGGGATCCACGCACTTGGCCTACTTGAACGGACACGCCGCTGGGATGGCGGCAGAAAACCGGCCAGGGGTGGAGGAGGGTCCGGCCGGGGTGAAGCACGAAAATGCTAAGAGAGGTGAAACAATTAACTACCAGGAGTCACAAAGGGGTGTCCAATGAAGTACCCCACACTACCTATAGACTTCCATTGGGCACCCCTTTGTGACTCCTGGTATAGATTAATATAATGTATAGTATATAATTAATGTATATTCATATAGAAATTCTATACCTGGATCTTCCAACTACTGTAATTATGCGGCAAGAATTCAGCCTTTTGGCTGCTTTTTATGGATGATGAGAGTTGGACGATCCAGGTATATTGTGTGTCCCATTGCCAGTAACAGTCGGTAAAGGATTAACACTATGTTGTTGGGAAAGGCCTTTACAACTGGTAATGGGATATGCCCAACTTCTATATCTTCTTGATATGATCCTAGAGTCCTAGACGAGAACCTTTAGGATACGGACATCATTGCAATTCTCGAGCCCAAACAGTGCCCCTTGCTTGTGGTTAATGTGCTGCTATATCATTCAGATGTCGAGGGCTTTACTGGGATTGGAGCCAAAGCAGCAGGCACCTCGGTCCGACCAACCAGTTGACCTACCTGGCAGGTCAAGCTCGCGACATGGCCCCAGGTGAAGATGTATTAAGATAAGAAGACGTCCCAGGCAATGCCGTCCTGGATTTGCTTCGGACCAATGGACCAAAAGCCTTTAAAGGCCCAACCGGGGCCAGGGGACCTCCCCTCTTGAATCCAGCACACGCAGCGGTGGGTGTTGAGCGACCTAAGCCGAGCTTATGAGGTCGGTCGAGCTGCTGAGGTCGGTGTCATCAACTCCTGGGACAGCAGCTCGCGGCGCTGGCAGGTCGGCTTCGAGACCTTCGACGGGCACCTGGACGTGGCAGCAGAGCATTTGCAGGTTTGGGCAGCCGCACGGCCTGTTTTGAGAAGTGTTCGAACTGTCCTCCTTGCTAGAAGTCCAAGGATGACGATGTTGGGGCCACCAACCGAAGTTTTGCAGGACATTCCCGAGCTTCGGGTTCGGGTCGGGTTCGGGTCATCCAGTCAGACCATTTTAAACAAAGGCAGTGAGGTTTCGGTTCGGTTGGAATCGGTTTGAATGTTTAATTGAATCTTCGAATCGGTTCGGTTTGGTTGAGGAAGCTTTTGTTCATGCATTTTCGGTTCGGTTCACGGTTCGTTTCGGTTCGGTAAGGGATAAGTTACCCTGTGAGACAAGACAAGAAATAGATAAGACAAACAAGACCAGAGAAGACAAAACAAGACATGATGTGATGTGACATGTCATAGCAAATCAAGATCTACTTGGTAGATTTCCTGTCCAATATGCTTTCTAGACCGCCTGGAAAAAGCATATTCACAAACAGCTGTCTTTTCCTCAGCTTCTCATGGCTCAGAGGTTGTCTTGACTTACTTGTTGTCGACACGATGTCCCTCATGGTGCCTTCGTACATGATGCCAGAGCAGCTGCGCTTGGCTCGTGTGCAGCTTTGTGTGGGGCTGTTCCTGTTCAGACCTGCAGCGTTCAGCCCTGCAGCAGCGCAACCGCGCGAGCAAGCAGAGCGGAAGAGCGGAAGACCTCGTAAGGGCACAGCTGTGGCTGTGCAGGGCACAGGCAAAAGTGGCCAGTGTCGTCAGGTGGGGGTTGAATATGCTTTTTTCTGCTTGATGCAAATGCATATTTGGCTGCCTAAAGTCCTAAAGGTGTTTATGATGGGCCGCCTTCTGTTCTGAGTGCTTAAATGCTTTTTGCGAATCGGAAAAAATGCATTTTGGAGTTGCCCTGCACATGGCGCAGGCGGACCAGCAGATTCAATATTTGCAGAGCCGCCCTGATGTTGCTTGCTTGACGAAGACTTCCATGTGTCGCTTGACCAAAGAGATCTTGCAGACCATCGTCAAGGAGCGCAACAGTCAGAGAGACCCATGGCTTCCGTGCAAGGAAAACTCCTTGGCTGAGCTCAAGATCTCCTTGGCTGGATCCAAAAAAAGCATTTTCACACGAAAGCCACCGATGACTCCACCTTCCTTAAATGCTTTTTTAACCAGAAAGAAAAAGAATATTTGTAGTTGACTCACTGCAGCAAGGTTCGCAAGCAAGTGGAAGCTGAGATGTTGCACTATGAGCGCCTGAATGTCACAGGAGAAAGCCCTTTGTCTTGGTGGCGCAGCCATGAAGGACAGATGCCAGTGCTCGCCCAGTTTGCGCAAGCGGCTCTTGGAGTGCCTGGCTCCAGCGCAGCTTTGGAACGGCTTTTCTCGAAAGCCGGTTTGTTCATCACCAGGCGCCGCCCGCGCTTGAAGCCGGGCCGCGCCAGTGACATGTTGTTTGGGCACGCCAATGTGCAAATGCTTCTGTGACCTCGGACAGCCCTCGAAGAAACGTTGCGGATCTCGGAGCAGGGGGGAATTCCGGTTCGTAATTTTTTCCGGTTCGGTTGTGATGGGATAATTGACGGTTGTAATGATTCGGTTGATGAAAAATTTCGGTTCTTGACATTCACGAGGTTTCGGTTCTGAACAAACGGTTCCGAATCGATTCGGGACCCTTCCTGCAAAGGTCTTGGACTTCCAGGCAGTTTCTCCCAACCTAGCCCTTCCTGTCTTGCCCTGACTGGAGACCTATAAGTAGTGCAGGGGGGTTGTCCAGCCAGGTGACCCGTAAGGAAGCAGCTGGCATGGCATGTTTCGGTCTATTTTCTTTCTGTTTTGGTGCCTCAATGGGTATGGATGGTTATGTTCATCTTGTGTCTCTCCCAGTCTACCCCCAAACAGAGGACATGTGAAGGGATAGTCTAATATAGTTTGCTTCTATGCTTGAGGCCTGCCATACAGCCAATCCAAGGCTGAAAAGGCCTCAAAAGCTTCCAAACCACAAGAAGCGGCAAGCAACTTGGCACTTCTTGGCGATCCTGGCAGACGGGCTTCACGAGAACTGACGAACACATCTGTGCAACATCCAGTCTTTAACCCAGGTGAGGGCCAATCAACTCTAACATCCTATTGTTCTCAAGAAGAACCCCGCCACCAACCACTGGCCAGCTGCCCCTTTCAATACCCACTTCGATTCACCAACCTCAACTGCCAACGAAACTTGGAAGATCAGAAGCAGTCAGAGGTAGTCAGTGACCTGAACTACTATAGGACCCGGAACACCTGGATTTCCCTGGCCTGGGATAGTCGAACTAAGCCGGGTTCTGCAACCTTTGTTGGAAGGCCGCGCAGACGTGTCGCCTCACCCTTTTCTCGCCCCAAGGCTGCGAGATGTGTCTGGGGCGCTTCCTGGAATCACAGGCCGAAGCCCCCGAAGCGCGCGCGGCGCGCGGACGCTCCAAAAAGCGCCAACAAAGCAGCCGAACAAACCCCAGCTGCCTACACAATCGGAACATGTACTCACGAAAATGTCAGGGTCGGTTTATGTGTGAAGGATTGCTGCAACACTGCGGAAGACATGTTTTTTTTTTTTTTTTCCAGGCTTCACGTGTCTTGACGCTGTCACAAGTTGCTTCAAGCTCTCGAGGTCTTTTTCCGAGGCTGTGTCCGTGTAGTTGTCTGGTTCGACCTCGCGCAAGACAGGCCTCAGAGACTCCAGGTCTTCTCTTCCGCATCGCGGCCCCGTCACCTGGAGAACCTATGGGATAGTCGAACTAGGGTCCTTCAACCTCTGTTGGATTGACTCCTGTGGATGGTTTTTGCTGTCCCCTGAGAAGAAGCCCTGTTTTGGGCGATGCCTTCGCCGTAAGCTGGGATCTATGCAAGAGCGGTTGCAAATGGATCGAGTGGGTAAGTTTCCGTCCATTTAGGATCTGGTTTCTCGAGGGTCAAATCAAATCAATCGGCTCAGCGCTTACCATGTAATTACTATATAATAGATATATATATATATATACACACTATCATATGCATGTGTTCGTTTGTATTCCCTTATCATTTCAATGTTCGCGACGCCTTGTCATGCGTGTGGTTCCTCTTCTTCTTGGGCCTGCAGGTGGTAATGCTGCCGTGCCCCGAGAAGCACGGCTATTGCGAGACGTGCCTGCGCAAGTGGATCCTCACACAGCTGGTGCCTCGCTGCTACAAGTGCCCCTTGGAGGTTGCAGCTTCAAACTCGTGGGCCAGGTGGAGGGTTATGGTGGGAGTATGCAAGTCGTGGGACTCCTGCAGAAGGCGGCTTGAAAAAAGAGGGCCTACGGCGGCCTACGTCTTTCTTGTGCTGCTTTGTGGGCTTGGGAGACCATATCATGGATTCTGGCCTCTTCTGTCTGTGACATTGAAACGAAATGGTCTTGAGATCTTCAAGTCTTCTCCCTTAAAAGGGGGCCAATTGGCGCTGATGGCTTCGAATTTCTAACTTGCACGTGACTATGGCCCTTTCGGAAGCGAAACAGTTTTGGACTTGGATGGCCTCAATAGGCCCCAGTGGTCTACACTTTGACGAACACATCACATGGAAGTGGACCCTAATCCCTTGGAAGACTACTTTCCTTTACAAACAGGGGGTATTTCATATGGGTTTTCCACTTCCCTGTTAGTGAGTCGGAGCGTATGTCATGCTTAGATCCTCTAACATCCTGATCCATATGACGCTTTGCATCGCTTTGCCTTCAAGCATGTTCATGCCCGAAGAAAGCCCTCACCCCATGGAGTCCAAAGTGGTGGGCCATTTCTGAGGCCATGTCAGCAGTGATCAGGGCGGGTCGTCTTATGATACAAGAATGGAATAGAACATCCTCACACACGGGCTCTTGTACAAATTGATCCGAAATGGATGACCAGACTCTGCTGGAAAGTCCTCCACTTTCTGCCCGCGCGAACCGTCTCCAAGGCTTGGATGAACTCTCCGTCTTGGCTTTGCCACAAGGAGCATCGGTGGCGGGGGCTTGCCCGCTCTTCAGCGATTCTGGGCAACCTCCAGGGCGTGACATTTGAAGAACACCTGCTGAGCGTTCCGGGTTCCTTGTCGATTTGGGTTTCCAGGTGAGCCTCATCCGTGGTAGGCACAAAAAGCGCACAGGATTGAGGAGTGGACACCCCCCGAACATGTTCGAGGAGGGTGAGGTTTGCGTTTGGGCTCTGAAGGCCAGGAAGAAAGGAAGGAAGGAAAGAAAGACATCTCGATCGCAAGCATTCCAGCCCCCACGGCGTCCGATGCCAGAACTGCGATGTTGTAAGGATTTCGGAGTAGAAAATCTGAGAAGGTCATAATGATGTCCAAGCATTGATCATCCATTTCAAACGGTGCATTCTTGGCAACAGTAGTGAGAGACTGGATATGTACACCCCAGAAGATTAACATGGAACCTGAAAAATGGACCTTCGGAAGACGATTTTCCTCTACAACCCGGTGGTTGTCGGGTTCCATGTGAATCTTCCAGGGCGCAGCTCCCCTCAAACGATCCTCAAAGCGTCTTCACCACCTCGAAAACGGCCATTTGTGTGACTTTTGATCCGCCCGGTTTTCGGCCTTGGCGCAACGGCTTCGGAGTAGAAGGGGTGCTGCCTCGACCTTTCTGGAGCTTCCTGCTGCCTCGAGCTTCGGAAGCGACAGGAGCTTCGGAACCTTGGTGCGGCTTGGTCACCAGTGAGGCTCAGGCCAGCGCCGCCTACCGCATTGGCAAGGAGGACATCGAGCAGTTGACCCTTGGGCGGGAGTAGGATTTGGTGGGATACGTTCGGAGACCGTCGGATGCCCGGTGGCGGGTGCCCGGTGGTGGAGAGATGCGCAGGCCGTGCAGGTGGAGAAACTCTGCAGGTTCGAGGGCGCAAACCCTGATCTCCCCGATGCACAGGTGATCTATCCCAATCCGATGTCTTCTGCATATCGTTCATGACCCTAGACGTCCAGTTCTTTTACTGCTCATTTTGCCCCATGGGAAGTGAAGGACGTTCCTTTGACTCGGGGTCACCTAGTCACCATTACTCAATCCATTCTTAGCAAACAAAAACCCTGAAAGTCAAAAGACTATGTTTAAAATGGTCTTTGGATGACCCGAAAAGGAATCTATAATATATTCTTTACTGGGGTGATTCCAAAAATCGTCGAACTGGACTTCTAGGGCAAAGGTCGACTGGTGTCTGAGAGGTTGTGGTGATGCTTCGTGAGTCACGGGCGCACGCGGTGGCCAAGCACGGCGGTGAGAGAGGCAGGGCGCCATGAAGGGCAGGAAGGTCCATCTTCTACGTCCGTCGTGCAAACCGGCGAGACGCCTCCGCAACATGATTCCTCGAAAAATAGGTGGCATCAGTGGAACCTTCAAGGGCAATCCCAATCTGGAGATATAGGGGTCATGTTTTAACATAAACATCCAGGAGTCGCAAGACGGGGTGGTGTTTAGTCCCATCCAGTGAGTGGAGTAGCTGGGCACCCCTATCCTCCAAGTTCGGCACCTCTTGGTGACTCCTGCATATTAGTATTATAGGTTCAATATGTTTCAATCATATTTCAATTAGGTGGGCACCAGTCCCACTTCGGATTCTCCCCTCGAGCCGCCTCTTAGGAGCTGCATGTGCTGCTTCGACGTCAGCTGCGGCGCGCGCTGCGTGATCATTGGCTACCCGGGCCTCGTCGGGGAGCGCTGCGTCGTCGGACGGGTTGAGAAGACCAAGACGAGGTGCGCTGGCTTCGTCGGACGGGGCGGACGGGGCCGGTGGGGCCGCTGCGTCGTTGCGGAGTGTTGGATCGGGCGCTGGCTGGGACTCCCCCGCAGAGGACCACATGGGAACCCCAAAGCCACTGGGTTTGTAGAGGAAAAATGGTTTTCCACCAGTCCATTCTCAGCTTCCATGTTAGTTTGTGGGAGGGTAGATGCTGCTGACAGTTCCATCTGAAGACGAAGATACACACGACGCAGCGATCAAACAGCCCCCGCAGATCCTTTGCGGTGGTCTACCTGTCCAATGGCCGCAGGCATGAAACTTGGGATTAGCAGATTAATTTCTTCTTTTGCTTCCCCATACCTGGAAGTGAAAGGCCTTGAGGTTGGAGGAATCTAATTGCTATATACAAGTTAGTTGATTTGTTGGGGGGAACTTAGACATCTCCAACGTTTAGATGAAACTGAGTCCAGAGAAACTTAGTCCACCTACAGACCTTACCTAAGTTCATTCTGTCTTCTGACTCTGTCCCTGGAACTTAGACATTTGGTAGTGTCTTTACGGAAACCTCCCAATGGGCCCTATCACTGTGGGGTTCTCCTTCTCCGCCTGAAGCGAGGGGGAAAGTGAAGGCAGCTACCCGGGGAGTTCGTTAAATACTTGCCAGATCTTGCCAGTCTGCATGCTCTATAAGCTCTGGAAGTCTATTTGTGAAAATTTATGAAAATTTAATTTATCAATCGAACATAATCTAACTATATAACTCTTTGCTGATGCTTCTCGGTTTGCGCATATATGGCATATACGGTGATATATATACATATATATATATACACCAAAGACCAGGACCCACAAACAAGGGGTGGTTAATGGACACCCCGAATCACCGGTTTTCGGAGCTATCAATAGAAACCCCTGGTCCGGGTGGCCTGGTATGGGACGGTTCTCTAGTCTGCAGTTGCTGGGCTTTCGATCTGGGCCGACCTCAGGAAATGGATCTGGGCTGTTTGGAGGTGGACGACTGCCTCTCTTCCGGGCGCCAGGCAGACACCGGGCCAGGGCGGGGTTTGGGGTGCCAACAGGGCAGGGCCAGTGACCCGGGGCGTTTGTACTCCAACGTTTGGGTCAATGTAGGCATATATTTTCAGTCCTATGGAGTGTATGGGTGATACAACACGACTGATCTACCCAGTCAAAATCAAGAGCTGGCAGGTTTGGGTAGGCATAGTATGACATAGTTTGGCTTCAGCCTGTTACCTGTGACGGTCGAAAAACAAGTATCACTATTTTAGAGAAAGGTCCTTATGATCTTTATAATAGACCATCATCATTTTAGAGAAAGGTCCTGATCTTTATAGACCATCATCATCCACTGGACCCTGGTAAAGGGGTAGACCCCAAGTTGCCAAGTAGATTGACCGGTGTCATTCTTCACTTCAGCTCGATCAAGTGACACCCCCTCCCCTTGGTCAGCTCGTTACGCGCCGCCCGCCACCAGGCACGGGGCGAGACGTGCCCCTCCAAGAGCGAACGCTTGGGTGCGCCGGTGAAGGGACGAAGGGTTGAAGGTCCGCTTTGAGCAGGTTTCACATGAAGAAGTTAATCAAACATCGTTTTTTTAAAGAATCAGGTTTGTTCTGTTGGAAGCATCTCACTTTTGATCTGGTTCTGTCATGTATTGCTAGCAGAGGTTGAAGAACCCTATAGACTATCCTATAGGTAGCCCTGCAGGGTCCTATAAGGCTGTCCGACATTTCAATAGGGATTTTCTTTCGGATGACAGCTTAAGACCCCCCAAACGGTCGGGTCGCATGGTTCGCATGACCGGTCGCTGTCTGGTCCGGAATGGTCTGCATGGTTCATGCTCACTTTGGTCGTTGGTTCGTGGAACACGGACCGTGAAGGGGCAGACCGGACCCCCAGGGTCTCTTTGGGTCGTGGGTGGCGGATGACTACGTAGAGCAGTTTTGAAGTTGGCTCCTGTGAGGCTGTTGGCGCGGTAGGGGTAGCCTCAGGAATGACCGCTTGTACGGAGTAGGTGGAGGAGGTCGTCGCCGAGTTGACCTTTTCGCACATGTTCGGTTTGCTTCTGGGATGCAGCCAGCTTAAAACCAGGCTTTACCACGGAATTTTTGCCGGGACCTTGATCGACTTATCCCAGGTTTTGCTCCAGTTCCCCGTGACTTCGGCCGCTGTTCTGAGACATTGGGGGTGTTCCAGCTGACTTGCGACCAAGGCTTGGGCTTGAGCGTGGCATCCTTGGGCTGTGCCTGCGTGGTGAAACAAGCCATGGATGAGATGTTCGTGGAGCAGCTGGCCACCTGGTTTCGCGTATCCAGGTGATGTTTTATTTTCCATATATATATGGGTCAATCCGACTTCCTCCATCCCTGTTAACATTCCAAGCAAACCTTGTGCAAAACATAGGTTCTCTACAAAAAATCGCCCGTATACGGGGCGTACGCCCACCCATTTCGACAAACTGTCGACGGGGATCTTCCTCCCCTTGACCGGGAGTTTCTCTTCTTTTTTCCCCTGGAGCAGCACCATCCAAGGCCATGCCCTTTGATTGGTTGGTCACTCGCGTGGAAGGTGCCGATCCGACCCTTCGCCTTCGTCGGATCCGCGACCGTCACGTCTGGTTCGCTCCCATCTCATCTGATCGAACTATAGCGACCTCACCCGACGTCACTTTGGAACTACGACCTAAACTTCTGAAATAAGGGCTGAGCTGTTCCCACCTCAATACAAGGATCTTGACAAATTCCCTGTTGATCAGTTTCATGTTTTTGTCTCTCGAAGAACCCAAGCGCGCACGACACACACACACACACACTCCACACTACATCAATCAGTCCTGGCAGAGATTTTGGAGGCGCGGGCGGGCGTGGGCAGGGACTGGATTTGCTGTCAGTCAGTTTGAATTTTGCTTGAGTTTTCGGGCTCGAGTTTGCAAAAAAGACTAAGAAGTCATGCCTCACCTGCTCACTCTCCACACCACTACAAGTAAAAACACAACCCAAGTTCGAGGTCAGGAAGTTTTGAAGTTCTTTTAGTTGTGCCCCATGAAGCGGCCCTCGAAAAGGAACACCCCAGCAGATGGGGGAAAACGCGCCTATCTGCAGCAGATAGGCCTTCTGCAGTGTGTTGATGAAGGTGTTTTTACTTTGAAGGAAGCAGCAAAAGAAGCAAAAAGAAGAAGAAGAAGAGAAGAAGCAGAGGTCCAGCGATTTGCACTTCACTTTGTTTGTTTCTTGGTCTTGCCAGGCTGCCAGCTGCCGCCGCTGTTCAGCCCCGCCGCGCCACATCGCGCGCACCAACCCCGACCTCAACCAATATTTTAGTATAATTTCAACTTTGAAATAGCGAATTACGACCCAACGACCTATGAAATATTATAATTCAGCCAGATCTCATGACCGGTTCGGAGGCCTGAGCTAAAGCGATCTGAAGTCAGGGGATCAAGTTCGGTCATGAAGAAACACCTGAGTTTGGTCTCCAGATGCCATGCATGTTTAGCTCTGTGGGTTTTACTTGGAGCACTGTGTAAGTTGGGTGGGCCCCCTAGCATTTTGAAGCCATGGCATCATAGCCACATGGGTGGGCTCTTGTTTTTCCTCACCATTGTGGTCCATGACTTCCCGAGAGAGCTGCACACACGAGACCCTTCGGCAGATGAAGCACCTTTCGGCAGGCCACCGAGCCTGGGGGTGCAGATGGATTGGTCTCAGACAGAGCTCCGTCCCATGACATTCATCTGGAGGAGGGCATCATGTTTTATGAAACACACATGGAAGTGGCACATGGCCCTTGGGAAGGCGGTTTTCCTCGCCCCGACCTGGGGGGTTGGAACCCACGTTTTCCTCTACGGTCGTTTCAGGGACGGGTCGCTTTGTTGGGAGCGAGCTGCCAGGCGTGCTCTACTTCTTCCGGCACCACTTCCGCGACTTTACCCACTACGACGACGTGCAGGCGGCACCGGATCTGTTTCCAGTGACCCAGTGATGCCCAGCCAGTACCTTGTAATACAACAGCCATGGATGAACAATGGTCCCCTGGATTGGTGGAAGACCAATGACTAATTGCACTCTTTTCCAGCTTCCAGGACTCAAAGAGTTCGCGAAAGAGCTGGCTGTGTAGTGCAGAATCCTGTGAACAACGATGCAAACCAAGGGTTGTTCGGGATCAATGATGGTTGGAATCCCTAGGCTAATCGGCGCCTTTTCCCTTTACTCCCAGAGTCGGGGGCGCTACTTCCGGGCGAGTCGGGGCGCTCCTTCCTGGCGATGCCATCGCAGGTGGTGGGTGAGCACGGCTTCACCTCATTCCGCTCGGCCTACCACGCTTTTCCACACCACGACCTGTCCACGAGCACGGCGCGTGAAGCGTTCCAACGACGAGCGGAGCGGATGATGGACTTGGTGATCTCCTGCAGCAGCTTCAGCTGCAAAGACAAGAACCACCATAGCTGTGGACCTTGGAACTGGTTGATGTTGGTGATGTTGGTTGGCTGGTGGGTCTTGCCCTAGAAGCTGGTGGTTGTCTCAGAGAATTTACCAGAAAGCTGGACTGGCCACTCCCTTTTTTCCTCCACCCAAGCCTCATCCCACCAGCCTCAGGAGAGGCGTCGGCACGACCGCTGCTGTTGGTGCGCGTTTGCGCGAGGTCGGAGGAGTTGGATCAGCGCCCCGGCCGGGGGAGTCACTGAAGAGCACAGTTTTTCACATGATGCTCAACACCTTCATCCAGACACTCTTTTTTGTACAGCTCTGCAGAGTATTGTTATCCAGGAGTCAAGACGGGGCGGTTTTTAGTCCCATCCAGTGAGTGGAGTAGCTGAGCACCCCTATCCTCCAAGTTCGGCACCCCTTTGTGACTGCTGGATTATGGCATGATTATTATAGTCGATATGGGCTCCGTTCGCCTTCAAGGACCCTTTATAAAATAGTTGACCTGGTTTGCGTATAACCCTTAGTACAACAATATGGTTGCTTGGCAAAAGACCATTTGCAAGAATGGTGGGAAGACATTTCAGGGGCTTCATACCATGCAGCACGTGACCCCACCATGCTCAGTCGCTAGATTGCTCACTGAGTCGCCCCCACGGGTCCCTGTGCATGAGCTCCGTTCCGGAGTGAACCACCATGCACGGCCGCCGTGGGGAGTCGCTGCAGCTGCTTTTTGGGTGGGGGCTGTGGCCAGTCCACAGGAGCCGGACCAGTCCGCAGGAGCCGGACCAGTCCACAGGAGCCGGACCAGTCTGCAGGAGCTGGACCAGTCCACAGGAGCCGGACCAGTCTGCAGGAGCTGGACCAGTCCGTTCCAGGTCAACGAAGGCCAAGACCAAGGCTGACGAGCACCCTCTCTACAGATCATAGGATCCTTCCCAGTGCCGCACGAATCCATTCCTATTTTTTTTGGGAAGTCATTGGAGTGTTACAATTGGACACCTGAACAACAAACTGCCTTCTCCTTTGTACTTGAGGTTTGCATGTTTGGGTCACACACCCCGCGAGTCCAAAAAACCAGGTTTAACCCCCTCGATAGTGGTGGGTTGTGACTATACCACGCCAGGGAAGTTCATGAGTGCAACGAATCAGCGCGCCGTGAAACGAATCATGAGATCAGATCCTCATCCGAGGAGTGAGGAGCTCTATCACTTGTTGCGCCTTCTGGGTGGGCAGAAGGTCTTTCTGCTGGTGGTGATCACAGAGCAGATTCAAAATCTGGGGGCTGTTCAGCACATTAGGCAGGGGAGGGGGGTAGTATACAGTGCTTGTACACACAATTTGTACATACAGTACGACGATCCAGCTTGTATATAGCTAGCAAGGTTGGACATTTGACCTTATAAACCTTGATATGTTATATCTCTTGGCTATCTTTATTTCTTTTATCTTCATCTTGGCTATCATTTCTGATTCTTATCAGAATTCACTCATCTTCATCAGGCATTTTACATAATTCTCTAATTGATTTTGCTGGACATTTCATACAAGTCGTTCAACTCCCAAAAGGGGGCCACGAAAGACCTGGGCGTTTCATCCTCCAAGCACCGCTTCGGTTCGGACCGAGCAACGGGTTTGGCGCTCGGGACTCCCAGGTCAGAGTCTGCGCAAGCCCTCCATTTCGGAGACAGCGTCCGGTGCTTCTTTTTGGGGGAGGGTCTTGGGCTCTTTGTTGTTTTGCTTCGTCCCAAGCCGCGCGCAGCGTGCAGCATGCGGGAGCGCGCCAACCCCTTCAGATGACTCCATTTCGAGAGTCTGGGGCTTGAGAAGAGCGCTTGAGTTGCGCTCACGCCCAGCGGCGAGGCTGAGCAACTTGATCCTCTACGTGTGCAAGGTCGGCTCCGCTGACCTTGTGGATGCCGTGCGTTTTGGGATGCTGGGTCTGAGAGAGATGGGTTGGAGGTTGTGGAGGGGGTCCAGAGGTGCACGTTCGAATGTCCATTCAGATCCATTGGAGAAGCATTTGATCCAGAGTGTCTGGAATCAGCATGGAGAGTAGTGAACACCCCCCTGTTTTTTTGGGCATGAGGACCACGATCCGGTCGGGGTCCCATCGAACTTATATCCCCTAGGGCTCCTGGCCCATCTCCTGAGAAGGTGGTTGGACCCCCAAACCCCCAACCACCTTCTCAGGAGGTGGGCCAGGAGCCCTTCAGGAGGTGGGCCAGGAGCCCTACATTTATCATCATGATCATTCCCAGGGACTTAAACAGCTGACAGCTGCTGGTGCTGTTGCAGGCTGCCAGCGGCCAGAGATGGGGCAAGGTCCACCGAGTGTTCCACCTTCTTCAAGCACCCTCCGACCATGTCGTTACTTGAGGGTTGTTGACGCGCCAAGCAGGTCTCCAGGTCCAGGTTCTGCACCTCCTAAAGATGAGTCCACTGGATGGTTCAAAGCTCCACGGTAGGTAGACTTGCACCGTGAACACGTAGCAAAGCTAACGAAGTTGGACAATTGCCCTTGGGAAGACGACTTTCCTTTACAATGCAGAGGAATGAATCTCCACTTGTCACTTCTTGGTGGGAGTGTAGGTCGGGTGTTGACCAGCTGGATCCTTCTGGTGGGTCGGGCCTCGGTGGCAGAAGGATGGACTACGTCTACATGGCGGTGGCCTTTGGGCGGCACACCTTGGATGCTGCCAAAGCTATTAGCCCAGTGTCGCCAGTGCCAGATGCGGCCACGTTGCGGCAGATGTTGAAGCCCCACAAGCAGCTTGGACAAGGAATGGTTGGAGCTGGAACATGGCCTAGGGTGCTTCGTCGATACGCTGGTAGTGTGCGATGGGATTGGCACCCCTCGCACGAACTGAAGCCATGCTTTTTAATTATGCGTAAGCCGTGCGCAAGCATCAGTCCTTCAGGAACAAAACCTCTTCCCATCTGTTTTGGAAGATCCAGTGGATCTCTCCTCCCCACTTCCTCTTGGTGCACCTCCCCCAGTTCGGGCAGCTCCGCCCGCGCCCACCGCAAGTCGAGGCATTGGCTCACGCGCGACCGGCGGGGCCTGTCGCCCACCTCGGACCTGGAGGGCTGCTTCGAGACCGGGCCCGGGCGCTTCTTTCCGGGGCGCTTCCGCGGCGGCGGCGCGTCGCCGTACTATGACCAGGATCTGGAAGCTTAGCTGATGGTGGAGAGATGGAGGATGGATGAGTTTTACGGCGCCTGTGGGTTCTGAATGATGTTTGCTTTAAAGGAGGATTTCGCTTGCTTTTGGAGCTCTGAAGCTCTCAAAGTGCGACTTCAAAGGGCGCTAGGCCCCTAGACAGTGCAAACTCAAAATAGAGGCAACAGTGCAACCCCCCGTGACCAGTTTTCCAGGCACCATTAATTTTTCCCTTTACCTCAGGATTCTACACTCATTTTATGTTGCAAAACCGTGAAGAAACCATCTGTTTGGGAAACCACATTTACTCTTACGTCTTTTGTTCTCCTACGTCTTCTGTAGAGGCCCCTAGCTCGATTTTCCACCCAGAAAGCAGGCACGACAGTCCGACAGTCCTGAGGAGAAGATGGTTCTCAGCTCGACGGCTGCGGACCTGGCATCCTTCCTGACGGGAAAGAGCCTTCAGGTGAACGCTTGGAATTCCGCGGGTGAGACGGTGCTCTGGAAAGCCTTCCAGCGTGGAGACCTTGACGCTTGAAGCTGCGAAGCTGCGAGGTCTCAGGGGTTTTGGGGATCCAGAGGTGGGTCAGGACCCGAACGCCCTTCGACGCCCTCCCAGGCCAGGGTACCCCAGGTTTTCCGGATCCTAGTACTTCGGTCGCTGGCTACCTCTCTTGGGATCGAGGTCACTGGCTACCTCTCTTGGGATCGTTTTGTGTGTGCTTTCTTTTTTTTGGGAGGGGGCAGTAGGGGCAAAGCTCCCTTTTGGAGAATCTTGCCTTAATTGTTTCCTAACTGGGCATCCGCTCGAAGAAGTTCCGAGCTGAAGTGCTGTCCCCAAGTTTTTGGAGCTTGCAGAAGGCCCGTGGAGGGTCGGGAATAGGTGATCTGAAGCGAAACGTGGTCTGGACCACCAGCGCCCTGTTCCAGCCCCACAAGGCGGCCAAGGCGGCCAAGGCCACAGAACAAAGACATGGAAAAAAACACCTGCTCTCAAAAACCCTCCAACAGAGGTTGAAGGACCCGAACTAGGCTATCCCAGGCCAGGGTACCCCAGGTGACGGGTCCTAGTTCAGGTCACTGGCTACCTCTCTTGGCTTTTCGAGGACATCTTGGCGCTGCTCTTGCTCCAAGCTGCCGACCCGAACGCCAGCACCGGCGTCCGTCGCGCGGTGGCCGCCGAGGGCAGTGCCGGCGGTGCGGCGCGGCGGTTGCTGCGGCTGGCGGCTGGGCAACCCATGAGCTTGGCGAAAGCCTATGAGACGCTTCAAGAGGTGCAGGGCCTGCTGTTGAGGGAAGCAGTCCGGAGTGTTCCATGACATCAGTGCAGCCTGGACCATCCCAAACTCGGGGTGTTCCATGGAGATCCCTAACTTGTGACAGATTAGTCCAAACAGGTGACTCGGTGCTGGGAGATCAGGTTTTTCATGTGCTTCATTGAGCGTTTTCATTCACGGGCACCATTCCAAACACCAGGCCCCTGAAACTTGGGGTGTCTAACAACAGTAGCCCCTATATTGTATATAGGTGAAGTGCTGTCCGATATCACGCACCTCTTAGGAGTCCCCGGCAACCGTCGTGGATGAGTTCGACGCGCTCCGATTTTTGGCAGGTCTCCGAGCCGCATCGGCGGCTGCTGTGTGGTCGCCTGGGTGCTTTCATGCCGCCGGAGGTGTTCGTGGCAGCAGATGGAGGACCCGCCGGGATGGTCCAAAAGGCTGCAGTCTTCCTAGTCTTGGATGTAGAAGAAGTGGGGGAAGTTGGAACACTTGAGGTTGAAATGGGCCACAGAGCTAGTCATAGAGGTGGCAAATCAGAGTCGATTGGCAGCCCTTTCCACCCAGCCACCGCCGCAGGCGGTGCCCGCGCGAGCGCTGTGGCACAACTGCTCTTCGCGGCGCCAACGGTGTCCGCGGCCAAGGGCGTCCGGGGTGGCTACGAGGCGTTGCAAGAGCTGCAGAGGAATGCGGGCAAACCGCTGGAGGTGCGGGCTTTTGGGGGTGTGGATGGCGTGTATATACCAGCACCCTCCAACAGGCTGTTAGTTGAGGGTTGTTGGACCCTAACAGGTCTCAATTGGTGACCTGTCGGAGGGTCCTGGTATTTCTTGGGCGAGCGTGATGGGGCGAGGAAGGGCAGTGGGCATGTGTATGAGAGATTGTAATGACCAGGGGCATTTTGCCTGGAGACCCAATGCCAACCAGAAACAATTTAAATGACATGGATGTTTGCCCAGTCCCAGCCATTTCCTATGTAAATGCTTAAGGTTATTTTTGCTCTGGTTGACCTGTTTTTGCAGTGTAAAAATCCTTAGTTGTTTGGCCAAGACCGTTGAAACAATGGTTGTTGGAATCCCAGGGCTTTGTATATATGTCCAGGTTCCTTAATATTGTAATAAGCAAATCTAAGAATTGCTATATTTTTTTAACCAGTCGTGTTTGTTTCTGGTCGGGACCGGGACTGGATTTCCATGGTGGTAGATGATCTGAGTTCCGCACGGTCCCGCTCGCAAGCTGCCCGCTCGCAGGCTCGTCGGCAAGTCTTGCGCCAGCTGCTCCGAAGCTGGCATCCGGACAAGCATCAAAGTGCTAGCCTGCAGCAGCAGGAAGAGGCGGCAGGGGACGATTCTGGAGGAAGGGTCTGGTCTTCACGGGCCTGGTTTTGACCACCCTTGCTGGGAATTGTATTTTCACTCCATGTAATATGTACATTTTGTACTTTGCACATAGTAGGATGTCATGTTACCTTGACTTCGCAGCTCGCGGCCCAAAACAGGAGTTGCAGCTTAACGGCTGTTTCTATAGGTTATCAGCCGTAGTGCTCTAACCACAGCCATGGACGCTCTTGCTATTCCTGGGAACGGCACATCATCGGTAGCAGTCCCAGCCGGTCTCATGACTGAGCCCACGGTGGATCTAGATGACCCCATGGGTTCAGCTCCTGTCACAGCTTACTTTCAGTTTGTGCAGCAAAACATCCAACAAGTGTACAACGGAAATGAAGATGCTATCATTGCTGAGGCAGAGAGAAGGCATAAAGAGATAATGGGACAATGGTTGGAAATGGTAAAAACCAAGTTTCGTCAAGCAATCGATGAAGTAGCGAGCAAGCATCATGAGGAACTCAGTTCGGTGAGGCAGCAAGCTCAATCTAGCTACAACCAAGTGCAAGGGGAACTTAGCGCTGCAAAAGCGCGGATCCTGAAGCTAGAGAGTGAAAGGTCCATTGAGGCTGAAGCCAGAAAAGCAGAACTGGACTCCTTGCGCATCCAGCTCATGCACGATTGTCAGCAAACTGTCACTGCCATCACCAGCGGTGCCGAGCAAGGTGTGGCAACGCTTCGTGCAGAGTTCGATGAGCGGGAAACTCAGCTTCGACGTGAGCTACGCGACGCAGAAAATGAAAACTATAGCCTGCAGCAAATGCTCGATGACCTTAAAGCCAAAGTGCATGCTGAACCCGAGCTAGAGTACCGTCCAACAAGTGTCATGAACACACCAGTGTCTACCCCTAGGCACGATGACACTAAGAGGAAAAATCCTCTGGAGACCATTGCAGCAGAGGCTACTGCACGTTTGAGTGGACTGTTCGCACCCAAAGCGCCGACGGCCACCATCATCGGTGATGCCCCACCAGGGGCAGCTGCTCATATCAAGCCCGTGCTTCCAGTTTACGGAGGTACAGCAGCGGATGGGGGCAAAACACCGACACATATGTTCCATAGCCCTGCACCTTCAATTCGCGAACCCCATAAGCCAGCGTCATCAGGTGCCATCACCTCTGAGCAGGTGATCGAATTGGTCAAGTCACTCACTCAAAGAGAGTCAGATGAGAAGCCAAAGGTAAAGGAGGCAGATCACATCAAGTTGAACGACATGCCAACCCCTGAAACCTATCGGCAGTGGAAACATCATGTGAGGGACGAAATCAAGTCATGTTCTGACAAACCAGATGCCGCCTGGGACTGGTTAATGGAGGTTTACAACACTGTTGATGAGAGGAAAGTTCTGGAAGAGCGGTTGTCTAACCCTGGGAAGTTCACAACGTTGGATACCAAGTTGGCAGCTGCGCTGACCAGAAGTGCAAAGGGTGATCTAGCAAACCGAATCATCAATTACAAAGAAGAGAAGGCAAAGCTAGGCATCCAGGTTCGAGGTAGGATGATTCTTCTCATGTTCGACGACTATTTTAAGACCTCGGAAGAAGCGGGTAGCCTTTACAGGGTTGAAGATCTCCTCAATGTGGTAAAGGTAGGCGATACTGTAGCGGACTTGAAGCGTTTCATCAACCGCTGGGACGCTACCATCGCTGGTATGCCCGAACCACCGCACGAAAACGTGCTTCGAGACATCCTTTTAAGGCAGATCCGCACTAGCACAATCCTAAGGTACGACATTGACCTTTTCGATCGTGCAAAAGAAGGTGACCATCATCGGTCTTACAAGTTTCTACTGCAAAGCATCAAGGATCTGATAGATCGGGAACGCCTTCGTGAGAATCGATCACGTATCGCGGAGCGAAATCGGCTCAAGCCAGGTGATCGACATGAGAAGAACGCCGCCCCTACTGTTGATCCTCGGCGAAAGCGTTCGCCATCGCGCGGACGATCCACCACTCGGGAGAAGGGTATTTGTTGGGCCTTTTCGGAGGGAAAGTGTGCAAAAGGGAAAGATTGCAAGTTCAAGCATGAAAAGCCCAAGCGTGATCCTTCCAAGAAGCGCCAACCATCCCGGGAGCGGAATGAGTCGAGGGACAAAAGCACAGATAAGGAGAAGAAGCGGATGACTAAGGAAGAGATGGCGAAGACCCCATGCAGGTACGATCAACAAGGTACATGCAGAAGAGGAGACAAGTGCTTTTTCAAACATGGAGAAAAGGCAGCGCCGGCTCCGAAAACGAAGCCAAGAAAGGACTCCCCAAAGCCAAAGGCAAAAGGAGATACCAAGAAGGCTGCCATTTGCCTGAGCAATCGGTTCGCATGTCTTGCGACTGGTGTGCCCGGACGGTCATGTCTTAAGAAGTCCTGTCTCCCTCCAGTGAGAAAGAGGTCTAAGTCACCTGTCCGAAGAACTACATTCGTTATGAAACCTGAAATTCGCACAATCCCTGCTCGCGGGGAACACTGCAAGATGGTCAAGCGTGAGCGCAAGTATAGTGTGCATTTTGCCACGAGCGATCGCGTGCCCAAGAGCGACCCAAAGGCAGCCCACATGGCCAAAGTAAAAGCTAGGCAGTTGGCTGAAGTTGTCCGAAGCTTTAATAGCGCAACAGTGCCCTCATGTCGTTTTCTGTGCACCGAGTCTTCGCTTACTTGTCGTGAGTGCCGAAGCTTGATCAAGTTGAAGACATGTCCTACTACCATCCCGACTATCGTTGCTGGTCCAGCACCAAGGGAAGGCAGGTTCTCATGGCTTGTCGATTCTGGAAGTGAGCAAGACCTCCTCAGCAGGAAAGTTATGGATGCTGCTGGCGCGGAGAACCCAAGACGGGCTCCTCACACCATCAGTCTCATTACTGCGAATGGGTCGACTGAAGCCAGTGAGGTAGCTGACGTCAAGATGAAGCAGCTACTGGAGCCTTGCACGCCGTATTTGCTGGATGAATGCCCTGCTGTGCTCTCAGTTGGCATCAAATGCCTTGACCAAGGGTATAGTTTCGTGTGGCCAGCGAACGGTACTCCGATCCTTGTGCGACCAGATGAGAAAATCGTTCAACTTCGCGTTGATGGTCATGTCCCAGTCCTCGACTCCGAGTGCAAAGTCTTTGGAAAGGGCAAGTTCAAGAAGGACAAGCCTTTGAAGAAGCTGTTTGCAATGCCGGGAGCAATCTCGAGCCCGTCGGATAAGAAAGAGGATGAGGGCATCGACGAGGAAGTGCCAGACGACGAAGAGAGCCGTTTGGTGCGATCAAGAAAAGTCGGAGACTTGATGCGTGAAGCACAGTCCGCAAAACACCAGTATCACCACTTCCCCAAGAACCCATTCTGCAAAGTGTGCCAGCGAGCGAGGATGCTTGCACCACAGGCACGAAAGAAAGGGGGTGAGAGCCGCATTCAGACTAAGGCCTTTGGTGATCATTTGATCGCCGATCACGTCGTCGTGCGCGCGAACATCGAAGAAGGGAGTCGTGGTGAACGGGTTGCTTTGGTTGTGAAAGACCTGCATACAAAGTTCCGGAGTATTTACCCATCCCAGTCAAAGAGTTCGGATGAGGTAGTGATTGCTCTTCAGCATTTTGTTGCCCCGGATGATGCAGTCGAGGTCATTTACACCGACAATTCCCGTGAGCTGATAGCTGGCATCAAGGAGTTAGGGTATCGCCACCAAACCTCCGTTGAGTACGTGGACTCCTCCAAGAGCTTCATTGAAAGGGAAGTTAGGAACATGCTTGAGGGAGCACGCGCCAATCTTGTTCAGTCCGGAATGCCCCTCCAGTACTGGCCACTCGCCATTCAACATTTTGCAATGGCAACGAACACGAGTGATCAGCTGGACTCATCTCCAAGCCCATGGGAACTGCGTTTTGGAGAGATGTTCGAAGGCATGGCCATTCCGTTTGGTGCAAAAGTCCTGTTCTGGAACAACCCCAATCGAGCCGACAATACAGCAGGAAAGCTGTCGCCCACTTCGGTGGAAGGTGTGTTTCTTGGTTATCATGTACAGCCAGGACACAAGTGGCGTGGGGAGTACCTAGTTGCTAAGTTGGAAGCACTAGACTACCATGTTGAACACAACAGTTTGACGATCCAGAGGACAAAGAAAATTGAGTTCCTTCCAGGCGGTTTTAGTTTTCCGTTGCGTGTCAAACAAGATCGTAAGGAAGCTATCCCTGATGACCCAAAGCTCAACCTCATCGAGTCTCCCAATCCGATTCCACTTGCGGATGCTGACCTTGCAGAGTACACTCCATCCGAAGCACCAGAAGGTGTACTTGAACAGGGGGGTGTGGAACCCGAAATTGAAGTCACGGCAGCTGACAAAGCCGAGGACTACAAGCCCGACACTACGCCGGCCGGGGTCCCTATTCCTGAAGGTTACCATTGGGATGGTCTTCGAGTGGTGAAGACGTACAAAGGCAGCAAACGCCCCAAGGACATTCCATCGGATTATTGGAAAACGCTCGGCCCAAAAGATCGGGCGAAGTTGCTGAAAGAAATGGACGAAGCAAAGTCATCCTCCAGCAAAGGTTCAAAGACCATAAGTCCAGCGACTTCTTCTCAGCTCGGTTCATGCCGAAGCCCTTGTGTTTCGGACACAAGTACCAGCTGGGAAGCCGTGCCCACGCCACAGATTAGGTATGGAGCACCTGCAATGCCGCGGAAAGTGCTTGATCAACCTGAGCCGCATCGTCTTCCGATCCGGGAGCTTATCGCACAGCGTATCAAGCAAATCGAATTCCAAGTCGCATTCGAGCTTTTCTGTGCAGTTGCCAGGCTCGTCCCTCGCGATAAGGTTTCTCGAACTCCGAAGGCCAAGGCAGCGTTGGACGCTGAGTGGGAGCGACTAAGAGCCAAGGGAACATGGGATGAAGCCCGTGTTCAGGAGTGCCGAAAGGTCGTTAGTGAGGCACACCGCAAGGGAGAGACTGTCCATCTCGGCCGCATTTTTGAAG